TGTACCATACATCATCTACTTATATTTCCCAGTTCACTGTAAACACTGTACCACCTCATGTAACTCTAGTATTCTCCTGCTTTCCTACCATCATCGCTCTCCACTTTAAAGCAAAGGTCTATTTGATACATCGAAATACTACAAAAAACAATTGAATACTTTTACTTTTGCGGTTGTGGCTTCAGGCAGCCTGAATCTCTTTCAAAATGAAGCCCTCAAGCCCTCCGCAGACCCACAGCTCTTGTACGCTCGCGCCAACAGGTTTCACGGTATAGACCTTCTCGGGCGATTCAGCGATTCCATCGAGCCTCAGCACAACCCGACCATCGGACATCCCAACAACCACATCGATGCTCTGATCCACTGTCAGCTCGCCCTGGAGACCCCCAGCGCCCCGAACACCCGCTATAGTGTAGCTCGCGGTCAAATCGGCGACGAGCTCCGGGCACTCCAAGCACACTAGCCCATTGTTGATCGCGTTCCGCTTGAATATGTCGCCAAACGAACCCGCGATGACGACGGGTATCCCCGCCGCCTTGAGGGCCGTGGCGGCTTGTTCCCGCGACGACCCGGTGCCAAAGTTGTAGCCCGATACCAATACTACGCCGCGCTTCGTCTCGCCGTTGGTGGCGAGGTGCGACTGCTTCTTCGACAGCAAAGCAACGAGTGAAGCAAAAGCCTCGTCGTAGTTCTCCATGACAACTTCAGCCTGCCGTTGCAGGGTGATATCGTCCTGGTACGTGTATTTACCAGGGTAAATGGCATCCGTGTTGAGGTTGTCCTGTGGCGTGAACAACAGCGGACCGGCGAAGAATTTTGGGAACCCTGGTAGAACGGGCTCGGCCGGTTGAGAGGCAGCGGGGCCGGTGAATTTAGGTTGGTTGGAGATGGAGAACGTGGGTGCTTTAACAGGGGGGAGAGCGGAGGGATCGACGGAGGCGGGACCACAAATATAACCTTTGATCGCACTGGCAGCGACTACGGCCGGGCTGGCGAGGTACGCGAGCGCTTGAGGGTGGCCCATCCGTCCTTTGTAGTTGCGATTCGTCGCGCTGATACCAGTTTGGCCCTCCTCCAACAGCCCAGTCCCGAGCCCAATGCAGGGGCCGCACCCAGCAGGGAGGACCTTGGCGCCGGACAAAATGAGGGCGTCCCAGTCACCACGCTTCTCCGACTCGAGCTGGACGGCAGAGCTCGCAGCGGCGATGTAGAATTCTACGCCAGGTGCGACTTTGTTTCCTCGCATCACAGCCGCAGCTGCGGCAATGTCGGAGACCCTGGAGTTGGTGCAGCTCACAAGGTAGGCCTTTTGAATCGCGACACGCGATGCTTCGAGGGTGGGGAGAGGAGTCGATATTTTAACGCTGTTAGGGCCCGAGACGTGGGGAACGAGAGTCGAGAGATCGAATATCAGATGCGACGAGTAGGCTGCATCGGGATCCGACTGCAAGTTTGCAGAACGGAGCTCGTCGAGGCGACGTTGGTGGATGCGAGGATGTTGCGGAGGAGTTGGAATCAAGGCAGCCATTTCGGGGGACGAATATGTGCGCAGCTCGAGTTTGGCTAGGACCCGATCGTACCACCGCAGCAGTGTTTCGTCGACCGGGAACACACCTACCAGGGCCCCCCACTCCGTGGTCATGTTGGCGATGGTAAGCCGCTCGTCGACGCTCAAAGTCGCGACGCCGTCGCCCGTGAACTCGATGGCAGCGTTGAGAACCTCGTCATTGTTGAATGAGCTACACAGCGCGACGATCACATCCTTGCCCGTAACACCCGGGGCGAGCTTCCCCCTCAGCTCGACCTTGACCATGCGGGGGACCTGCCACCACGTCTTGCCCGTCGCCCAAAGCGCCGCCGCGTCGGTGCGGACGATGGGTGTGCCTACACACCCCACGCCGCCGTACATGTTGCTGTGGCTGTCGCTTGCGACGGTGAGGGTGTGCGGAAACGCGTAGCCCTCCTCGACGAGAATCTGGTGTCCGATTCCGCGTCCTGCGGGGTAGAAATCAACGTTGTGCTCCCGCGCGAACGCCTCGATGGAGGCGTATTTCGACATGTTCTTAGCAGAGCGATTCTGCACATCGTGGTCGAGGGTGAACACTGGTTGGACTGGGTTGTGTATCCGCGTCGCGCCGATCGACTTAAACCTTGGGGTGCATGCATATGTTGAGGACGACGCGCAAAAGAGAAAGAGGGCCAGGACAAGACGAACTTGGAGATGACCGGGCCAGTGTTGTCGTGGGTCATGACATGCTCGGGGCGTATCATAACATAGTCTCCCGCCTTGACGGCTTTGCCTGAGGGAAGGCCAACCGCATACTTTTGGACGACCTTTTCGATGACCGTCTGGGGAACACGCGTCCCGGTGCCAACCACAGTGGCAAAGCCCCTCACTCGGGCCCAGCGATGCATGGATGAAGGAGACCAATGAAAACGGAGGCCAATGAAATCAGAGCGGTAATCTGACGCTCGGCAATTCGGCCGAAGACATTTTCGGTCCATTTCGGTCCTCTCATGAGTGCCGTCCATTAAATACCGCTTAATTATCACCATCCATCCAGTTATAGCTACATCGTTCTAATAGTGTGTGTGCATGTACGCATATTTCCAGACCCTTATCGTCCTCCGCATCAACAACACACCCACCTAAGTACTCAAACATCCGTCGACCCAGGCGCTAAACATACACCCATCAGCACCCGCTCGAACGCACGAAAGGGAGGTGTGGTGACACTCACGACAACACGCGTTATCCTGCGGATTGCACTCCTCCGGCGGGCAAAGCACCAGACACGGCGTGTCCGCGCCCGCGCCTGCACTTGACCGTGATGCAGAATCAGCTATGGGGAGCGCGCCGTAGTACTCGGGCTGGATCGTGCACGAGTGGATGCCCTGGTCGTGCAGCGCGCGCCGGATGTGCGCGGCGATTGGCATAAAGTCGAGCTCCCGAGCAGCGAGAACGTGTACGGAGGCAATGTTTTTCGATTCGGAGAGCTGAGGAGTTATGAGTACGCGATAGGAATTAAAGCAGTGTCTGAACGTAAGCCGTCTCACCTGCCAGATATGCAGCTCATGCAGACTCTGCACACCTTCCACCGCAAGGATCGCCGCGCGCACTTGTTCGATCGAGATTGTCGCAGGGGACGCCCTGCAAAAGTACGAAGGACGCGGAGCGCACTGCAAAGCGTCGTTAACATCGAACGAAAGAAAGGATAAACACTGAAAAGCCACCCACCCAACGGGACCGCGCTCCCTAGAATAATGCACGCGATAACCAAACTGATCGCGGGGTCAAAGTAAACCTCGCGTCCGTTCCAGGAGGGGGGCGCGAGGAGGAGAATAAATCCCGTGGCGATGACGCCGACGTTGCCGAGGGCGTCGCCGAGGACGTGGAGGACGAGCGCGCGCATGTTCATCGAGCCCGCGGCATGCGAGTGGCCGTGTGCGTGCGAGTCCTTGGGGGAGGGAGAAGGAGATTTGTGTGGTGCGGGGGAGTGCGAGTGCGAGTGTGAAGGCAGGTCGTCGTGTGAGTGTGAGTGGGAGTGGGAGAGGAGGGGCGTCGATTCACTAGGGCCCGTGCCCGTGCTCGTCGTGCGACCCGTGTCGGGCAGTGCTGGGTGAACGCGCCATGTCGTGTGCGACTAGCAAGCCGTTCATCGGTACGAATAAGATGAGCATGTAAGGAGGTAGCTACCTCGCGCGATTGAGGCTCGCGTCATAACGGGGTGCCCAGAGCCCACGGGGCCGACATATTCCTCCGAGGACTCGCTATCGCTTGCACTTGCATCGTCCTCGTGCTCGGTTTCCGCATCATGAGTGAGACCAGCGGACGGGGAGGAAGAGAGCGCCTTCGCTTTAATCGGCTCCGCCTGTGAGTGAGTCTCGTCGCCGTGAGAGTGGGAGTGGCCGTGGGAGTGGCCATGTTCTGAAGTCATAGATTGAGGCATGAGAGATCAGTGGAGGAAGAGGTTCGTAGAGCACATACCATGGAAAAGAAACAGACCAACCAGGTTGGAGGCCAGTCCCAAGCTGCCCACGATGATAACGAGGCGAGGGTTTGATATTTCTGGAGTAGAGAAGAAGCGCTCGAGGGCTTCGAGGGCGATGGAGAAGCAAAGCGCTGGAGGATGTAGGTGTTAGCATTTACATAGCAGGCGACGGTGACAACACACCGACGAGAAAGACGCCGTTTACGAGTGCGGCGAGGATTTCTGCGCGGTGCCAGCCGTACGAGTAGCGCGAGTCGGTTGCACTTTGTTCCGTCAACTGGTTTGTCGCGATTTGGGATTGAAAGGCAGGGTCGGACAAGGCCGTCAGCCGGCTCCTGGCAGACTCGAATCGCGGACAGACCTTGATAGCATAGAGCGCGACGACTAAGCTCATGACATCACTGAAAGTAAACGCAAAATATGCTCAGCGCTCAGAGTCCGCAGCGCGCTATAAGTAGCAGAGGTGAATGAACATAACGCACTTGAGCATGTGGAAGCTGTCCGCGACAAGTGCCAGTGAGCCCACAGCATAGCCTAGCGCGCAAAAGCGTGTCAATGAGTGCCCAGTGGCAAGGTGAGCCGGCGCACCAGATATAATCTCGACGAAGAAGAAGACGGCGTCGATGGCCAGCAGTATCTTGATTCGGGTTGACCGCGACATCCCTGCAGCTTTTCAGTGGAGCCGTAGCCGGACGCAACGGTGGGCGAGCTGGGATCGCGGAAAAATGGAGAGTGGAAGCGGAAGAAGGGATCAAGCCGAATTGGGAGAATGATGAATAAGCATTCTCGTAGTCTTCAGGTTCAAATGTCAGGAACTGCACCTGGTATCGAGTCTAAACCTTCTAGGAAAATAACTGCCCAAGACTGTAACAAAGGACAGTAGTTCGCTGTATTTATCGGGTTTCTGAGTATACAGTAAAAGTGGTGACTCAATATCAGATTAGATGGAGTTACTCAAACATGAAACTGGGCCTTTATGCTAGCTACAAAACGGAAAGCCCCTATATCGTGTCAGTGGTGTACCGGTAACATTGGGTCTTCCCACCTTTCAGGCGATTGGCCTAGCACCGGGTTCGACTCCCGGCTGACGCATTTTTGCTTCCTTGCGTTTTGTTTTGCTCTCATTTTCTGCGCGCGCCTAGATACATATCCTCCTGGCTACTCAGACATGAGACTTGAGATATTCTGTGGTCGAATCCCCGATATATACTCTATGAACGAGAAGCAAATTACATCTCAACTAAAAGATAGCATTAACAATATGACTCCCGACAGCGGAGCCTGTGTAGTCAGTGAGCAGTGCTTTCTTGAGAAAACAGCAAACAAACCAGCGCCAAAACCGACACCACCGACAGCCGACTGCGCCAGCTAATATTTCACGTTGAGAACGCCATAAAGGCAACCAGAACAGAGAGGGTTACACACCGTGTTCCCCAGACCGCCGAATTTGCCCTTCTTTGGAGGCACCTGTGGCGCCTGGGCCAGGTGCCTGGATTGGCTGTCCGACACTAACTGGAGGAGGACCACCGTAAGAGTTGTACGGTCCGCCCATCGGAGGGGGAGCCTGGTACGCCGGCTGATATCCACCACCACCCTGGTGGTTGTGGATATCCACTCGGTGGTGGTGGTCGATACCCCGGGCCAGAATAAGCACCCGGAGGACCAGCGGCGGCTGGTACGGTGGCTGGTTGTTCATTCCACTCGGAGGCTGGTATTGAGACTGGCTGTTCGGACTAGGGAATGAAGGCATCCCCGAGTAAGCGGCGTCCCGAGCTTGATACGGTGAAGGTACGGAAGCCGAGGGCAATTTTTCGACATAGTTAGACGGGAAGAGACCTTGCTTTCCGTTGTATCGGCCAGTCCACCTGGGCGATGACTACTTGAGCGACCTACAGACACAAGCAGTGGCGCAAGGAAGAAACCAGACCAATCGGTGTTTGTTTCGGAGACGATCTCTATGGTATCGCCCGGCGCGAAAGGACAGGTCGCTCGAGTCCTGTAATGCTTCGATGAAGCAAGGGTGGTATTCCACAACGAGATAGCGAACCCGGCCCTCATTATAGCCCCAGAGGGCTCTCGCTTGAACTGTAGGCGGCTGATACGGCGGCGCCGTTGAAGGAGGAGGCGTTATGAGCAGATTCTGAGTTCGTTGCTCGAGAGCAGCCATAGATATCGGAAGTTTAGCCAAAATGTCGCGACCATCTGCAGCCGATATTTGCTGCTGAGATATGAGAAATTCGACGTTCTGCCGGGTCTGGGAGACGATGTGGGCGAGCAGAGCTGAAGAGTCCATGGCGGAGCGGGTTCAGTAAGAGCCCGATCAAATCATGCCTTCCGCAACGTTGATCAGCAGCGTCCCCCATTTTGTTTCGCGCGAAGAGCACAGGACTATCGCGGCTGAGACCCCCGTCTCCTTCACCGACATCCCTCCCGTTCTGCGCCACAAGGAGGATAACGTCTCCGCAACACTCGAGCCCTCCATTAGACGGGTTTTCAGCAGCAGGATGGCGCGCAGGGCACATTATACATTATAGAGAGGTTTGTTTCGCGTCTTTTGCGGCCAATCCACCAACGAAACGAACGACCCATCTTCAGCGTCCTAGTCTTCATGTCCACCACCGGACGCGGATTCCAGATCGAGTACCCTGCGATAACGCTGCATGCCGTCTCGCGCACCGCGACTGGGCCGTCAATATACTGCCAGCTTGACGAACACGCGGGGGAGCCCGAGGGCGCAGCGTCCAACGACGAGATGACCGACATGCGCGAGCTGTCCATCGTACCCCAGACCGTCGAGTCCCGTATGTTCACGCGCTGGACAAAATCAAACAATATATTAATCTCAATTGACAGTGGAACCCGTATTCGAGGCCCTCTCCCGCTGTGCCGCCCTGCATCCCGACAAGGCCACCGCGTCGGACGAAGAGGATATGGACGCGTTCATCGACCCGGACAACGGCGGTTTCGAGGTGTTCACTGGCGACGAGGATCAGGAGCTCAGCGAAGTCGGGAGGGTGCGCAGCGATTTTGTCAACGATAACCGATATGCCCCATACTAGAACTTGCCCTACAGGCGGCTCTCGCGCATCTCGAGTCTATAATCTATTATCCAGAAGACCAACCAGCGCCAAACGGGGCGGTGAATGGCCATGTTCACAGCGCAGATGAACAAGAAAATCCCGATCCCGCCCCAGATGCGACTTGATGTACCGATTCTACTGCTTTTGTACTCACTTTTTGTTTTCTTGGCATCGACGGCCCAACTTAACATGTTATGTGGCGCAAATTCAAAACAGGACGCAATGCTCTACATTCTCATGCTACTACTTCTTAAACCCCTCGGCCACCCAAGAGCCACTGAGCGAGTTCTCTGGAGATATCGGCGTCGCTTTCTTCTGGAAATTTGGCAACGGACCCCAATCAAATGACGGAGGGGGAGATGGCGTGGCGGACGGGATTCCAGTCCGTTTAAGCGGAACGGAATTGGACATGCGCGTTTTCCCACCTCCTCCAGCCCCTCGCCTCGCCGGGGGTGGCGGCGACGGATTGAAGTTATCCTCGGGAAAGTCGAATCCGGGCATAGGCGACGGCGAAGGCGACGAGCCGAAAGACAGCCCTCGAAGCGGAGTGACTGGAACACCCAAGCCTAGCCCAGTTCCGAAGGCGCTCTTCGGCGTGTTGAATGCCACAGGTGCAGGAGGAGCAGATGCCGCTTGTGTGTTCAGCAGAGGCTCTTTGCGCACGGATAAGAGGGCCCGCTTCAGCTTATGCGCAGATCGCTCGGCGTTCAAAGCTGCTGCGGTGGTCACTGCGATATGCGGGGTGACATTGAACGGACGTTGCCTCGAAATAGGATCGGGTAAACGGGCATCTCGGGTGCTGGTAGCGTGGCCATTGCGAGAACCAGTCTTCATGTTGAGCTTCGCAACACGAGCGGTCAGTTTCTCGACATCGCTGGTTTGATTGTCGAGAGCTATATCCATATTTCGGAACGTCCGGTTTAAAGTGTCGAGCGTAGGAGCACTGAGGATTATTAGATAAGCAAACAACCTTTGGTTGAAAAACTACCGTAGACCAGGGTTGCCCGAGTTGGCTCTACTAAGCCGCTTCTTGGATTCCTGGAGATGCGATTCTAGCTTTTGAATGCGATCTTGCATGGTCTGAAAGATTGATCAGTTAAAGTGAGCTAAACAGAAACCAACAAATACACACCCGAATACTTCTCCTCAGCTGCGTCTGCGTTTCCAGATGTTCAGGGCCAAGTGTCCGGGCCTTCAACATTTTTGCGAAATCGTTATCATGCTGCGCCTTAAGGAATCGACCAATTTCTTCCCGGCGAGTTCCAGCTGCTCATCGATTAGAGACTGCGGTAATCCAGAACGAAGCTTCATACCTTTGAGCAAGTTGCTTTGAAACTCTCTGAGTGACTTTGCCCGCTGAGCGTTCACTTCCTTCAACTCCGCAAGATCCTGCTCGTACAGCCGCATCGTCTGCCCGAATTGTCCAGCATCCACAAGGGCCCACTTCTTTCGATTGCTCAAGTCAACGGCGCGACGGGAACCGCCCGCGGACTTGCTGAGTTCTAGTCTTTTCTGATTCGCGGCCTGGGCCAGTGAACGGAACTATCCAAGACCGTGAGCGGTAAGAATAAAAATAAAAATAAAAAAAAGAACTCACATCCTCAAGCTCTCGCGTCATATTGGCGAAGAGAAGCGCACATTCCTTCTGCATCCCTTCTTCCATCGTCACCTCGGGCGGGGGGGCCATCGGGGATGGCGCAGGGGACGGAGCGGGTGATTGGAAAGATGACGCGAACCCTTTCGGGGTTGAACCCGGAGTCGCAGCGGGCGACATCGCGTTCTTTGGAGTGTTAAATCCAAAGAAGCCGCCGGGTGAAGATGTCGGAGTGGTGCTCGAAGGCCCTGGGGTTACAGGTGATTTGGAGGGAGTGGAAAATGGTGGCAAAGACGCTCCAGCCAAAGGGATCTTCCCGGTGTTCAGAGGAGCCTTGGGCGCCGAGGAAAAGCCAAAAGATAATGACGAAAGCGGGGGCGTTTTGGGTCTCGTGGGTTTCGCGGCGGGCGCAGCGTTCTCCTCAATTGATTCCGTTTTAACTGGCGTTGACATTGCCCCGAAGGTCGGCTTGGGAGATGCGGGCCGAGGTTTGAGGAAACCCTTCTCCACCTTGACCGTCTTCTCCTTGTCGTCTTCGTCTCCAGACGAAGAGGTGGCAGCTAAAGGAGAACTACGCGCTGGCCGTGTGCTTGGTCGGCCGAGACCAATGCCAAACGGTGATGGGGCGACGGGAACTGGGGCCGCAAGCGGTGTCTGTTGCGGTGTGTGCTGCGGTGAGCGTTCCTTCTTTTCGGGGCTGCCAGGTGGGGTCGCACTCTCCTCACGGATCGTCGACAAACGCGATCCGGTGGACGAATCGGACTCTTCATCGGATTCTTCGTCTTCGGGGGATTGTGTTATCTCGATTTTGGGAGTTTCCGCACGAGGCGTAGAAGACGGCGACCTTGAAGGTGGCAGCGGCACCGCTGACGGGGACGGTGACCGAGAATCGTCCTCGCCGTCGTCATCGTCCGGCGGTGCCTCGGAACCAGAACCAAAGCTCTCCGACAGAAAGGACTCGCCGTCATCGTCCTCATAGTCCTCACCCTCTTCTTCCCCATCAGCGTCATCCTCCACTTCTGCTACCGACACCTCCACGAAGGAACTGGCTTGCGAAAGGGTGCCGGAAGATCCGGACGATACTGGGACCGGTTCACCAGCGGCAGAGACGCCGCTCTCTTTGATTGGTGTGTCCGGATTCTTTGGAGGTGCTGTAAACACTTGTATAGGTTTGATGGACGCAGACACCGGAGAAGGAGAAGGTGAGAGCGATTCTAGCTTTGACTGGGCCAAAGCACCAAAAACAGAGACGGGCTGCGGCTTCGGGGTCTCGTCCTTCGCTTTCAGGAGTTCGCCAAAACTTTTGGCGGGTGTCGTGGAAGATGTTAAGCTGACCGGAGAACCGCCAAATGCGCTGAAGCCGCCAGAAGCCGCCGTTGGAGTTTTAGTGGGGGTTGATGCGGGGGAGATGGGGGCAA